TGAATTCCAACAAAGCTAAACTCCTTCAGAACAGAGTAATCAAAATGACTATGTATTGATGTCAGGTTTGGTTTTGCCCTCCATGTCCTTAGCTTTGCTGGGGATCTAAACATGGCATCATAACCAGACTGAGCTCCTTCACAACAGAGAAACAGTTATCAAACATGATATGTTTGATAACTGATATGTTTGATAACTTGACCTGTAACAGGTCAGTTCTGTTTGTGCTCTTCTGTGGTGTCCTGAGGCGGTGAAATCGCCCTTGCTTTATTCTTGTGTGATGCTCTCCTTCCCTCTGCTGGAGAAGTCTGGGGTTGCGAGTCTGTGAGAAATGTCAGCAGAACATCTACACTCTGCTTCATGACAGAGTCTAAAACATTTTGTTCCTCTTGTGAAAAACGTCCCAAAACGTAACGGTCGACAGGCGTTTTGCCTGACGGTCGCCCAATACCAATGCGCAACCGTGGCATCACCTGCGGACACAATCAGCGTGTGTTATAATGACCTTATACAGGAAGTCACTATAGCTAATGTTTTGCTCTATTAAATATTTGTTAACTTACATCAGTATGAAGGCAGTCCACACATGATCTCACGCCATTGTGACCCCTGAGAGGAAGAGACGTGGTCCAATGACCAATGAAGTCAATATAACATATTAGAGAGAAACTTAAACCAATGTTATCAAAACAAAAGTCTGATAAAAAGTTTTCACTCACCTTGCACTTCCGCCATGTTTAATGCCGAACTTCCCAAGCGGTTTGTCAAGCTCATCATGAATCAAGAGAATATGTTCAGGCGGAATTGAAAATTTGCTGGCTGGAAAAATGTATAAAAATAAAGAAGAAATAAATTCAGATTTCCAATGATGGAAACAGGGGTGGGCGGGCGATATGACCAAAATCTTATTTTGATAATGAAATACATCACAATATATAACTAAAAATAAGAGCAAAGATTTATTAGACAAATTAAATTTAAATGAAGTAATTTTAAAGTTTAAATAAGTATACATAAAGTATACAAATACAATACAAATTAAATATAGTATAGTTGTTCAGGTACAGTAGGTTTATTTAAGAAATAGTAAAGACATTGAATAAAAAGGTAATATTATATTACATTATTAATATTATAATAAATAAAACACTGCATATTCTTTACTGTATACAATGAATTGATTATGAACTGGTTATTATTATTAAAGATACAAATGTTATTCAGTCAAGAGCAGTGAATTATTTTCTCTTTGTCTTTTGTTGTTTGATTAACATTAATGACACAGGTATATTAGGCTGCTGTCACTTTAAGACCTCATGCTCGGATCTAATATAATGATGCACATCTGATTTTCACCCAACTGTTCACGTGTATGTGAATAATCCACCCCATGGGCATTTTGACATAAAATGTGTGTATTTGACCATTCAAGCGCAATAAGCTGCAAAAGAGAACCGAATTTGGGATCGCACAATATATGTTGTCATACCGCCCAGCCCAAGATTCCTGTAATCATCCACCTGAGGTGAGTTATTCTTTTATATGCGTCTCACCTGCTTTTGCCACACTCACACCATTGATGTTCATGAGCAACTTGGGTCGAAGAAGAACCAACTGGATGTCTTGAAGGTGTGTTACAAAAACCTCTCCTGAGACTTGTCGGTCAGATCTCCAGCTGTCTGGCGTTCCCAAACGTTCTGCTAGCGTTGTAAGCACAGCCATACCAACACTATGTCGAGAGCCATTCATGCCAGGGTTTCCCAGCCCGACAACCTGAAACACAACAAAAAATACACAAAGTGATTCAGTCATAGGTTTATAAAGGTCCTTATTAAATTAGTACTTAGGTTTTAATATTTAATAGACACCTCGGCTGTTATTAGTAGTCGTATCTCATTAGTTTATTCCGTTTTTGCTTGCCATATACAACACTTAGTCAGAATGTCAAAAAATAACTAGTTTGTAACGAGTAACTTACTTGTAGCCAACTGATAAGTACTTTAACGAACAGCAGTAAAACTAGTGTTGAAAAAAAAAGACTTTGAGAGGACTGATTTACAGTAAATACACATAGTCACTGGTAACTTTAGTATCTATTTTTCGGTTTGTCATAACCTATAATAACTATAATAATGCCAAATAAAAGACTTCTTCGATAACGTAACGTTACCATTTTCCGTCTATTACAGTCAACCGCCGTTAGACCATTCATCATCTTCGGTAATGGCAGCGCGCTCGTGCTCATCAACACTCGGTTAATCAGTTTCGTTATCATCCGCATTATGAGAGCCATTGGCAGTTTGAAAGCTTGAGTCACAGCCGTCCAGACTTTGCCTCGAACAGTGGTGTTACTCATTATGAGTCATGGCAAGTTTAAAGTTTACCAAACTGGTCTATTACACAGTTTCGATGCGACTTTCATCATACACATGTCGATTGCTGGTGAACGTTATTACGGATATAATCGTCACTCCAAAACATAGCAACTACAGCTTATATAAAAGCATAATCGGTTGGACATATGAATGATTAGAAGACGCTTTTTTTCCGATTCATTCGCGTGGATCAGAGGTCTTTACCGACATGGATCCACACGTTCTGCCGTCAGCGTGTATTGCAAGATTGCCAGATTTCAATTTTAAAATCCCCCCTAACGGAGCAAATCATCAGGGCGAACTTGGGCGAAGTATAACATTTATCTCGGTCAATCCCAGAACGACTTGAAATATATGTGAAACTGAAATGATGAACCTGGGATAACAGTCTGTGTTTTGAACAGGTTAGTAAATTAATGCGTACATTATTATACGTGTATTTTCTATGTTTGGCAACGCGAGTTTGTCTGACCTCAAGGAAGCGAAGGAGTTTTTTAGTCCTCACAACCCCACAGCGCCACTTATCGTGATGGTGGAGAGTAACCTTTGGCAGTGCTCAGACAGTGCCATTGTAGGAGAGATGGAAAAAACAGTATCAGAGACACATTTCCAAACACGTTCAAAGTTTGGGAAAAAGAAAACTTAACCCCATGGAGCCTACATTATCATAGTTGATACAAAAAGGCTTCTAAATTAACAGCATGATCAAAACCTTTCTGAAAAACCTACACACAAAAAAATGCCCTTTGTCCTCTGATTGATAGTTTATACTTTTTAGCAAGTAAATTGACTTTTAGTATTATTCTAAAAATTATTAATCTATTTCAGGTTGTGGTGCACATCTTTGTGCTGTGAAATCTTTAATGTGTTTAATGATCTGTAAACATAACAATAGCTTTTTAAAATATCATTTATATTATTGGGAGACAAGACAACTTATATTTATATGCATTTTATGCAAGTAGGCTACTGTTTGTAAACAAAGCTTATTGATACACATGTTTTCGAAATGTCATCTTATGGCACATGATGCAGATCCAGTAAATCTTTATGGATGATCAAGAAAATGTCTACTCGTTACATATTTAACTTAGAACGAACAAACGAAAAAAAAGAAAGAAAGAAAGAAAGAAAGAAAGAAAGAAAGAAAGAAAGGAAAAGAAAGTGTGAAAAAAAGATTAGGCTATTAAAATTGATATGAAGTTCCCCTCAAGTTCATTCAGGTGTCATAGCAAATAGGCCTAGTTCATCACATTCGTTTTTAAAAGAATATCTATTTTAAAACCTAACAATAAATGCTACTTGGTTTGATATTGTGTTATGCTATAATGCAAAGACATTAATCATGCATTTTAGGTGGGTTCATTTGCCCATATCTGCAGGCATCCATGTGTTGCTATCTGCTATTCTAATGGCTTAGTCAGATCTCAAATGGCAAGAAATAGAGAGTGTCCCTTATTTACACCATCCCTGCTGTAATTGGAAACGTAAGCACGAGCCTTTATGGATGGATATGTTCAGATCTGCCTTTTTCGTTAAGTTAGCAGCAACACTTTATGATAATGTTTCATTTGTTGACATTATAACTTACCTTCATTGGTTAACATGAACTAACAATAGGCCTACTTATAAAGCATTTATAAGAAAGGTACACTGCCTTTTTTTTTTTTTACAAAGTTTAAAAAAATTACATAATGAGCGAGTACATCATGAATCCATCTTCCAAACCGTGTTTATGTATTTCAGGCCTAACGAGTCCCTACCACTCGTGTTTTGTTTGAAAGAATTCAAGAACTCATTTACAATAATTGTACATTTGTAAATGCCAGTGTTGATGTAACTGAGAAAAATGAGACTGATCAGAAGTAGACATTCTAAATAGACTGTTTATTTAGCATTAAGACAAGTGTTAACTGTTCAGTGTGCAATCTGTTTTTATTTGCATTTATCATAATCAATAACCATTATCATGTTTTTTTTTCCACATTCGTGTTTATAATAATCAATAACCATTGTGTTGCTTTGTTTTCAAAAGTAAAGCTATACTTGGTAAATGTTTTGGTAACACTTTACAATAAGATTCATAGTTAACATTAGTTGTATTAACTAACATGAACTAACCAGTACATTTGTTACTGTATTGTTAATCTTTATTAACATTAGTAATTTAAAATAGCCTACAGCTGTTCATGTTAGTTCACTGCATTAATTAATGTTAACAAGATTTTAATAAAGTATTAGTAAATGCTGAAATTAACAATAACAAAGATTAATAAATGCTCTTAGCTTGTGAAATTTACAGATGAAATCAGGAGGTTTTTATCATAACTGCGTTTAGCAACCTATGACTCCAGATGTTAAACTGAAAATTAAATCAGATTATTATCAGATATCTGTCTAATTAAATTCCAAACCATAACAACAATGGGGAATTAAATGCAAAGCAATAACAAGAATTAAAACGGGGTTTAGATAAACTAGAAAAATATCTTTATTTTAAAAGGAACCATGGAACACATTTCAACCATTAATATGGAAACAACGTTTCTGAACATATTTTCAAAACATACAACATACAAAAGAGACTTTCAGCTTAACATGAACAAGAAAGTGTGTGAGAGAGAGAGAGAGAGAGTCCATCTGTTTACATCCTGCTCGTCTTCGAAGCGTTTCTCCGAGGGCAGTATTGGCGCGTGTGCGCCCAGTCTCCGGTGGCCGCGCAGAAAGGACACACATAACTCCGCAGGATCGGGCAGAGGATCCGTCCGTCACGGGCTTTTAGTCTATGGCTCATGTACACCTCCTCGCTCTCTCCGTTTTTTATGCAGAAGCCGCAGGTGTCACGCCGGTGGTCCCGGCTGGAGGAGGAGAAAGTAGTGCTGGAGGCGCTGCTGGATGAGCCGGTGCTCATGAATCGATCCCCGGGGGTCACACACGCAGTCACGGCTTGCCTTTCCTCGCGATGCTCCTCCAGCAGCTGCGACAGAGTCTTGCGGAGATCCATGTAGTCCCGCCACATGAGGAAACACCCGTCAGCTGCGGGGAGAGTGTTCTCGCGATCGGTGAGAGAGGAGGGCTGCATCATGTCCAGTGTCAGTCAGGTGTGTGTCACCCATGACCCCTGATCAGTATTTATAGGGGAATCGTCTAAAGACTCCAGACAGGAATGTCTGGTCTGTCTGGGGCGTTGAACACCTGTCCCATTTTCGTGAACCCTGGAAGGCTTGCTTGACCGAGGTCCTCACAAGGTCACTGGTTCAAGATCGCGTTTTGGTTTATTGTGTTGTATCAATTAGCGGCACGTGCCAGACTGAGTGCACGCGCCTCTGTCTGCTTTCTGTAAACATTTAAACATTGTAACATTTTCAGGGTCGTGCACAGGATTTTTGGGGCGCAGGTGCTCAAGTTAGAAAAAAAAGGTCAGTCTTCTCATAAAAAAAACCACGGTTCCACTTAATTTTGATAGTCCACTTTAGACATTCTACTAACTATAAGTAACTTAGTTTGCAACTATGTCAACTAACTCTCATTAGATTAGAGTATTAGTAGACTGTAGTCTGTCAGTAGACTGTTATGGTTAGGTTTTAGGGTTAGGGTTAGTAGAATGAGTTGACTTGTAGTTGCAAAGTTACTTATAGTCAGTATAATGTCTGTTGGGGGACCAACAACAAAGTGTTAGCAAATATTATGCAGATAGTCTACTATTACTCGAATGACAGTTAGTTGACATGTAGCTGCAAAGTTATAGTTAGTAGAATGTCTAAAGAGGACTATCGAAATAAAGTGTTACCAAAAACACATCAAAAATGTAGTTAGGCTTACATATATTTTAAATTAGGTACTGTACACTTTTAACTTTCATATTATTTATTTAAATAAATAAACATGTTTGTTGGCATTATGCTGGAATTGAATAAGAAAAATAAATATTGTGCATTACTGACAGAAATTACTATTAATTATTTATTTTATTTTAGGCTATATGCATTTACACTGCAATTACAGTGGCAGGAATAATGTTATGAAATTATTGTTTTAAATGTAAAAATATGAATATAGAAATATGAAATAAAAAAAAATGAAATTACACTTTTCTGCATATGATATTTTTTTAAATGAAACTGAAACCTCCAATGTACAGCATAGCAGATACCCGATTAGCCTTTACAATCATCTTAATGTAATTATGTGTTAAATTAAGTGTTAAATGTCCAAATATTTCAGTTAGCCTATAAAAATAATGGGTAACACGTTTTAACATGAACATTTGTTACAGTATTTATTAATATTTGTTAATGTTAGTTCATTCATCAACGGAGATGCACAGGGGCTCAGGTGTGACTTTCGCTGCGTCCGAAATTGGTGCACTACTTCCTTAAAAGTAATTATTAAATCCCCTCCCTTGGCCTCATGGGATAGCTAAGTGTCCATCGACTGCACACTCAAAGCCATTTGAAGGCAAGCCTGCAACCTTAGCCGAAAAAAGCGCAACGCCTGCTGATGCTGCTATTGTGTTAAATAAAGACCAGAGGCCTTTTTTGAATGGATGCCAATGATGAGGCTTCACTAAGCTGAATAAACCACTTTTGTGAGGAAATAGCTTATCATTTAATGAATCGACAGTTTATGTATGTTTTTATATTAAGTATGTTTTATATATTTCAGATTACTTTCGTATGTAGTATGTAATCTGTACGTACATTCGCCATGTTGTCATTAACATGTGACCTACCAGCGTCAGTTACGTCGCTTCACCTCCATTCACAAATCTTCTCCCATGGCCTCATGGGACAGAAAAGTGTCAATCTAATGTACACTTCAGAATGCTCTTCAGAATAAGTAGGTCATCCAGGTACTTTTTGACTGTGAATTCGGACATACTTCTTTTGTCACATGCTGTTTTTCATCTATATAGGGAAGTATGTGATTTCGGATGCAGCCTATGTATTCGGACAGTATTTATTTTAATGTACTCTTTTTCGCAGACTAAAGAGTATAAGGAAGTATTAGAATTCCGGATGCAGCGTTTGTTTAGAACTATTTTCGGATGCGTCTCAATTAGCTTCCTAGCTCCCGAACTTGTGAATCAGTAGATAGTGTAAAACTAATCCAGGCACTGGTAAGGACCCTAGCTGGCTCACTGCATTGGGGCAGTGATTACTCCATTTTTGGCGACATACAACATCAGCATACAATGTTGTAGAATGTCACCACTGGTAATAATCAACAACAGGCTATATCTTTTTTATACTATTTGTTATGCTGTGTAATTACGTTGTTTTGTTACATATCCATACAACATTTATGCCGAATATTATATATGTATGTTAAGTGCCTATAGTATAATAACATATAATAAAAAAGTGTGTCTTCAAATCTTTGCGTGTTTATTGAGTTGGCTCATGCGTTTTATGTTTCACACTTCAGAAATATGATGTAATTGCCAATAAGGAAAGCATAGTGAGCATCGAGCATAGTGAGCATCGATGCTCCCTGTTTTTGCAGTGCATTGTGGGATTTTTCAGGGAGTGAACGTTCCAGTGCACTGGTAGAATTTTGCGGTTGAAACAGTCCTTAAAACGGCCGACTAGTCAGTGCCCTGACAATAGGGAGCTGATTTAGATGCACCCTTCGTTGACAAAATAGAGCAAAATCCGACAATGTTGTTCCTAAAATGTAAGTGACTTAAAGGGTTAGTTCACCCAAAAATGAAAATTATGTCATTAATGACTCACCCTCATGTCGTTCCAAGCCCGTAAGACATCCGTTCATCTTCGGAACACAGTTTAAGATATTTTAGATTTAGTCCGAGAGCTTTCTGTCCCTCCATTGAAAATGTATACACGGTATACTGTCCTTGTCCAGAACGGAAATAAAGACATCATCAAAGTAGTCCATCTGACATCAGTGGGTTAGTTAAAAAATTTTGAAGCATCGAAAATACATTGTATATCAAATAGGCTATATGCACGCATAACTTCCGCCTTTGACGCAAGGCTGCTCTTCAGTTTCCGGTTGGGGAGATTTAAAGCAGAGGAAAACGGGATTATGGCAGAGTCTTCAAAATTTGCTGTCCTCCCCTCTTTGAAACAAAACTTTCATACGTTTAGATGTCATTTTATATATATATATATAGTTATGTTTATTTAATATAATAAAGCAAATAAGCATAAACAAACTGAGGGGTGGCTGTTTTGTCTGTTTTTGTGACTAACGTTCCTTTAGTATAGCCAAAGAGAATAGAAGCCAATATAAATTCTCGGTATAGCCAGAGAATGTCTAATATGATCGGCGGAAGTAATCCAGCATCCTTAGACCTTCACCGGAAATACGTCATGTACCGCCGTGCATAGAGCCTATTGCATGAAACGATAGACACATCTCATTTATTAGCTAGTAGACATGTGCAAAGTTTCAGAAACGGGCGTGAGGGGCTCAGTAGTGCCACCTTTAGTCAAAAATGGGGTATTAGTTTTACCTACAGTAACAAAAATCGGTATGTATATTGTTCTCCTCGAGCCGGACAACTTTCTAATTTACAGTCATTAGCTCCGACTAACAGGAAGTCAGATATTTTGGTTTGAATGTGATTTCCTCCCTCTCCCTCTCCCTCTGTCTCTGTGTGTGGGGGGGGTTTGGGGAATTTGTCAATTAATTTTAATGGTTTTCAAGGTTTTAGGGGCTTTTGAGGCCCTTAACGTGGTCAAAAACTCTTGAAACTTTGCACACAGGTCAGAGCCCACAGCCGTCAGGGCCGGGCTGAAGCTGGTACCCGGGCATGGCAGGGGGGCTCAATAGCTTTTCAATAACGCATGCTTTGGAATTTAATATACTCCTCCTAGAGATTGCATCCAATCGCCACCAAACTCGGTTAGCATGAAGTCAAGACATTGAGGATGCTAAATTGCGGACGGATTGTTGATATCTTGAACGGTTTGGCCGTGGCGAGGAAACGAATTTATGGCAAGAAAAGAGAAACACGAAGTATCATAACTTCTGCATACATTAACTGATTTTGATGAAACTTCAGCAGTGTGTTCGTGGTAAGAGGCCGATCAGATGGATGTAACTATTGTGAGTCAAAGTTACAGCACCACCAACTGGCAACAGGAAGTGTGTCACTTTCAAAATGCTTTTGACAAAAGTGGGGGGGTTAGTCATTAGCTACGACCAACAGGAAGTCAGATATTTTGGTTTGAATGTGGATTTCAGATTCTGAGTTTTTAGCTACTCCTCCCAAGTAGTTTATTTTATTCACACCAAACTTTTTCAACATGATGAAAATACATTAAAGATGCTAAATTGTGAACGGATATTGAATATCTCAAACGGTTTTGCTATGCTGAGGGATTAAATTAATGTGAAAAAAAAGAATCAGGAAATGTCTCATATATTTCTAAAATGTAATTATACACCATTTATTTTTATATAAAATTATACAAATATTAGAACTAAACCCATTTTATTCTTTTTTATATTGCCAGTTTAAGACAGGCTATTTAGTGCTATTTGGTTGAACAAAAAATCATACATAGGGCTATACTGCCCTCTTGTGTCCAAAATTATATCAACATTGTACATAAAACTATTTAATCAGGTATGTCTATTGTATTTTTATTAGTGCTGTCAAACGATATATTTAATCGCGATTAATCGCATTAATGTCATAGTTAACTCGCGATTAATCGCAATTAATCGCACATTTTTATCTATTCTAAATGTCTCTTGATTTCTTTTTGTCCCATTATTTTTTCTCATTTTAATGCTCTTATCAACATGGAAAAGTGGATCGGCTTGCTTTGTGCAAATGTTTTTTTTTATTGGAAACAACATTGAGAATACTGTGTTCAATTTCACACTAACATTCTCACTTGGACTGCATCTCTCACACAATGTAACACTGTCTATCAATAAAAGGGTGAAAGAAATACTGACAGGTCCTGATATTGACGAGGGGGCGGAGAATTCGCATCAGCTGTGTGTGTGTGTGTGTGTGTGTGTGTGTGCTTGGCCATCAGGTGGTGTTTCAAAATAATTAAATTCCTCTTCTTTATTTTAATTATACATGTATACCTCCTTTCCATTGTTTTTTTTCTTTCTTTCTTTTTCTTGTTTCTAATATGTGATTCGAATGTTCTTTAATTTCATTGATATGAATGTTATCTTTAATGCTCTTCATATCTTATGATGATTTGTAATAATTTAGAACAGTATATGTGAAACATTTATGTCTACTGTATTATGTCATATAATAAAATAAAAATAAAAAAAAGTGGTGTTTCAGACTGGACGTGCTGCGATGATGATAGT